GTCCACGAGGTATTGCAGTAGGGTGCTGGTCCTGTGGCGGAGGGGGCAGAGGCCTCGCTGCTCATCCAGGCTGGCAGCGCGCGCCCGCCATTTGCTCGCATGCATCACGTTGGCCCGCGACAGGTGGGAAACGACTCGCGCCGCTGCCGCCCGCTGGCTGCCCCATGGGATACCTGGGGGATGGCACTTGTCTGGGATCGTCTGTCCGTAGATGCTGACCAGGAAGGGGCGCAGACATTGGGGTGGCCAGGACTCCTTGTTGGTCTTCACGCCCGTAATCCCGTCGCCGTGTTCCACCACGTGGTCAACCCACCGACTGTGAATAATGGGGTTCCACTCGAGCAGGAACTTGACCAGTGAGCGCAGTACGCTATGGGAGTCCTGCCCTGAGAGCTCGGAGGTGGAATGGGTTGATAGGGTGGACCCCAAAGGCGGGGGAATGTAGGGGAACAGGGACTTGATGTCCCGAGTCCCTGAACCTTGGCCGTTCGTCTTCTGGCCAGGGTTGGCCCGGTCGATGCCGGCGGGGAGGGGCGAGCCTTCGGCGGGGGCCGCAGGTTTTGCGTAGGCGTCCGGTGCTGCGGCGTCGGCGCAGTCTGGGGCGAGGTAGACGGTGATGTTGTTGCGCTCGACGTCCACCTCCGTCGTTGTCTCCCGCTTGGCTGGCGTCGTAGATGCACGAGGACTGCTGGTCCAGGATGTAGTCGAGCGTGCCTGGGGCCACGTTCCAGATGTGCGTGAGGCACCGCCTACAGGCCCAGCTGGCGTTCCACTTCCGTTGGGTCCAGAGGGCGGGCATCAGGTCCCATGGCGGCAGGCCGGTGTTGTCGTACTGATGGGGATATTTTTTTGATTCGCGGCCCGCAAAGAGAAGTCCAGAGGGCGGTATGACCGAGGCTGGGGCACAGCAACAGATAATTGGCGCGACGCCGCGCAAAGTGCACCTGCAGATAATTTGAAAGAGGCGGCCACGGGTCAACCCGCAGGTGGGGGCGAACCGAAGCCCTGCCGAAATCACGCGGACCCAAAAGTCGCTGAGCGTATGCCAGCAGAAGAGGGCAACCGCGACTGAGCAGGTGGGACCAGGCCGGACCCGCAGGTGGAGTACCGACCGGCAGCCTGAAAGGGGGGGAGGCAGGGAGGCGCGAGAAGAGAAAGAGAGCACAACCTAAGGGGAAGCGTGGGTGATCCACTCACTTGTCACCCGGTGCGTGAGCGTCAGCGTAAACGCCGGCCACACACAAGCCACCGAGGGAGGTCAGGCCAGTGACCATACTTCACGAACTGGCAAGAGGAAGGGTCTGCAGCCAGTGCCTCTGCATCACGGCACGCATTCCCGAACAAAGCCTGGGTGGGGTCATTTCGGCCGACCGCAGGCGAGGGCGCCCACGGGGGCCGCGGGTACCATGGCGGTGCGGCGCCTGTGCTCCCAGGAGACACAAACTGTGGCCAGAGCCACCAGCTAGCTGAGACGGCCAGGCGGTGCCTTCAGCCGGTCGACCCTGTCCGCCTCGGGCCGGTAAAGCGGACAAAACCGTGGGTGAGCATACATCGGCCGACCGCACGGGCTACACGCCCATGTGTATGGGGGTCAAAAGTGGTAGTCGCTCCAGAGAGCGACGACGTGGAAGCCACTGCGCATTGCTGGACTCCAAAGGATGGGGCACTAGGAGGGGCCGCGGCCAGCGTCCGATGCGTCCCGGCCCGCTCAGCACGGGCAAAGTGACTGGGTGAAGCGTCTCGAGAAGCGGTGGGCTGATGGGGATACGCGAAGCGTCAACAAATTTGACTCTTGGGGCCTTCTTGGGGGGCCTCTTGGAGGCCTCCCGCAGGCCTCTTGGAAGCTTGATGGAACATCTTGAAGCCATCTTGGGCGTCTTGGACCGATCTTTCGGCGACTGGTGGCGCCCTTAAACCACCTTGCGGACCATCTTGCGGCCGTCCAGGCCGCCTGGAAACGCATCTGCCGAAATGGGGCCGACAGCGACCGTCTTCCGCCCGGCTTATGCCGGCGATCCGCCCGTGGCCGGGACTATGTCCTGGGGGGTTCCACCCAGACCCCCCCACGGGAACCCTAAACAGGAGCCCCTCCGCAAGGTCGGGGAAACATCAGGCCACATGTGTATCCCAGCTCTCGCCCAGGCCGGCCGCGCCACGTGTACCCAACTTCTTGGCACAGAATAGAGTGTATAACAATACGATCGTAACATTATCAACAAAAGAACACAGTGCATATGCACAGAACACAAAACTTGAATACACATCGCAACAACTCCGTGGTGGAGGTCGCTTGAGGTAGCATCGTTCTCGCCACGAGAGGCTGCAAACAACAATGGGATGCGCACTCGAGAACGATGCAATGTTGGGGCACCCTTCCGAACTGCAGGGTCGAAAACGTATCCGTAAAGAATGACCGTGAACGCGACGCGAACATGCTGACACGCAAATGGTTCCTGCGCACCCGTCGAACCCACGCGTGCGCCCCACCGCTCAAATATGCAATCGCTGGCTTTATGCCAATCCGTGACTGCACACTCGCGCAGGCGACGACTGGGGCCGCCCAGGGGAAGCAATACATGTACCCAAGGTGCCGATGGTCCATGTCTTCGGCGAGGCTCCACAGCGAATGCGTGTGATGCCCGCCCCTGGGCTGTTCGCCGCTATCGCCGCCCCCGATATTCGGCGGCGAGCCTGGGAGGGAAATGAGAAGGGGCGGGCCTTCTTAAAAGGCTCGGGAGTCCCCCGGCCTTCCGAAAAGGGTTCGAACCCTCCACCGAGGACACAGAAGACTTCTCAGAAGGCGCGAGGGCTTCCGAGAAGTCCCGCCGCCTTCTGAGGAGGCCTTCTCCTTCTCATTCCCTCCCTCGCCCTCCTCCTCCTTCTCCTCCTCATCCTTTCCTCCTCCTCCTTTCCTCCTCCTCTCCTCCTCCTCCTCCTTTCCTCCTCCTCCTCCTCCTCCTCCTCCTCCTCCTGCGCCTTCTCCTCCGCCCTCTCCTCCTCCGCCTCCTCTGCCTATGATAACACGCTCCGTCGATGCGCCGCCGCCATGCCCAAAGTATTCCACACGGGACCCCGCCCGGCAGCTCAGACCTGGCCTCCCTTTCGGCCCCTCCGCGGGGCTCACGAGGATCGAGGCCTCCCCCCGATAAAATTGGCAGAGCGCCGCCTTCTGAGTGGGCGGGCGGGCGGGCCCCAGAAGATTCGTGGAGGAAACTCCTGGGGGGTCTCTTCGTGGGAACGAAAAAGGGCGACCAAGCCCGATTAGGGCACCCGAAAAAGAGTTGCTGGACGAACGACGATTCACCTGACGAGGTTCGATGGGGCCGGATTGCGCACGGGGGCACATCCACGCTCGACGGATTTCCTTTGGCTGCTGTCCGGCTGTTTGTAGACTGCGCCCCGGCGTCAGATGTGACACGCACTGGAATATGGCCCTTGCTGGAGGAGGAGGAGCAGGAGGAGTGGGAGGAGTGGGAGGAGTGGGAGGAGGAGGAGGAGGAGGAGGAGGAGGAGGAGGAGGAGGAGGAGGAGGAGGAGGAGGAGGGGAGGAGAGGAGGAGGAGGAGGAGGAGGAGGAGGAGGAGGAGGAGGAGGAGGAGGAAGAGAAAAAGTTTTTTTTGCGCCGATGGGACAGCGGCGCTGCGGTCGCGACGACTTTCAGGAGAGCTGCGGCCCAAGATTCTGGCGCCGGCGAGGCCCGAGACCGGCCAGAGACCCTTGACTCACACTGCACTCCAAATGCCACAATAAAAAGGGTGCCGTCGGACTTGGGGAGGACGATACATGAGATGGGGGGGGAGAAAGGAACCCTTCTGAGACCCTAAAAGGCCCCCTGCTGGACCCGAAAGAACCTCTTCAGGGGCCCATCAAGGGCCCCTTTTCGCCAGCCCCCGCTGCCCCCCGTTTATCGCCCCCCCACTACGCGCCCCCAAATTTGAGCTGACTTGGAGGGTTACAGGGCGGCCAGACAAAGCCGCCCTTTTCATGGCTGATCTGGGGGGAGTCTAGCATGGCTCGCCCAGTAGGGTTGTGACCCCCACCACTTTGCTGTGGGATTCGGGATATACTCCCAAGACTCCGCGAGCCTCCGAGTTCTCCACGTTGTATTCTGCGAGAAGGAGGGTGGGCCTCCGTATTGCGGAGGCCTGCATCCTAACCTCTTGATCGTCGTTGGTTGTTGGTCGCACGGGACTTTTTGCCAGGGATGGCGCCAGCAAGCTCAGAACGGTTGTGGACGCCACGAAAACGAATTTGGGGGTCGAAGGTTTATGGAAAAAACTGTCACAGCTGTCTCAACGCTGAGATATTGTCTCCGCAGCCAAGGCTGGCCACGCATCCAAATGAGCGGTTGGCATGGTGTTGATGGCTCAGGATGCGCGGGATCGGGAAGTCCAAACTGCGAAATGTCAAATTCGACCTGCCCTGATCTGGAAGCCGGATCAAGCTGAAACGGACCAGACTAAACCAGATGAGGCCGGAGTCAGAGCACCGATGCTGAATCTGACCTCCCAGGACATGCAACCTAAAGAGGGGACTCCATCAACTTGCGCAATATTGCAGGGGCAACAGGCTGGCAGTAGCGGGCACCTCCAGCGAAGCCAACACGAGATGGCGGGGCTGGCCCGCCGTCGAACCCGATGTCTTTGGGGCCTCCAAATCTCCAAGATCGTAGGGCGTAACAATCTGCACCGTCCATGCGGCAACAGCGGGAGAGATCACTGCACCGACCTTGCAAACCTGCTGCAGCGGAGTGTCGCGTGGATTTCTGTCATTGCAAGACCCCGAAGCGGCGAGTGAAAAACAAAGTCAATTTCGCGTGGATGGTTTGTTAATCTTCACTCCTGGAAAACATCGCACGAAATTCACATCGAAATACGGGGCAACATTCTTCAGGACACTCTAGGCCCCTCCTATCGTTTCCCGAACGAAATACGCTCTGCGACGTTGGCGCCATGAGAGAAAGAGAGAGAGAGAGAGAGGGAGAGAGAGAGAGCGAGGGGC